CCTACCCCTCGCGCCCCTCCTGGCGTCATCGGGCTCCGACTACCAACAGACTTGCCCCCCCCCTCTCATTCTCATGTCTGTTTTCACCCTGTTCCAGATCACACTGTCATAACAACTCTCCCCTTAAATCACCTTCACATCCGACAACATGGCTCCCCCGGCGTGCGCGCCCGTCGCCAAGGACGACGCGATCCCTGCAGGCATCCGCAATGGCATGCGCTTGGCCCAGCCCGGCCCTGGCGAAGAGGTGGTCATCTCCGGGCTGGCGGGCATGCTGCCCGACTCGGACAACGTGTACGAGTTCAGGGACAAGCTGTACAACAAGGTGGACCTCGTGTCCGACGACGACCGGCGCTGGAAACTTGGTGAGTCGCCGTCACTGCTGTGTCCGTTCTCGAACGCTTTTCGAACCCCGCCCCCAGGACTTGAACTATATCCACCCTTTTCGTGCGCAGACCACCCCGAGATCCCCCAGCGTACCGGCAAGATCAACAACGTCGGCAAGTTCGACGCGGCCTTCTTCGGCATCCACTACAAGCAGGCGCACGCCATGGACCCCATGTGCCGCCTGCTGCTCGAGAAGTCGTACGAGGCGATCGTGGACGCGGGAGTGAACCCCGGCAGCCTGTACGGCACCAAGACGGGCGTCTTCATCGGCGCCTGCTTCTCCGAGTCGGAGAAGACCTGGTTCTACGAGAAGCTGGAGGTGAACGGCTTCGGTATCACCGGCTGCTCGCGCGCCATGCTCGCCAACAGGATCTCGTACTGGTTGGGCGTCAACGGGCCCAGCTACACCGTGGACTCGGCCTGCTCCTCCTCGCTGTACGCCATGGAGCACGCCTACAAGTCCATCCGCGACGGCCACTGCGACATGGCCATCGTGGGCGGCTGCAACCTCTGCCTCCACCCCTACGTCTCCCTGCAGTTCTCTCGTCTCGGTGTCCTCTCCAGGGACGGCACCTGCAAGTCGTTCGACGAGAACGGTGGGTACACCGCCGGGATGTCCATCAGGAACGCGGGGTGTATAATTCACCACCACCACATTTATAAAATAAAAATATTTCCTCTTGATTTGCAGCTAACGGTTACTGTCGATCGGAGGCCATCGTCGTTGTGTTCCTCCAGAAGTCCAAGGACGCCAAGCGCATATACGCGACCCTGGTGCACGCCAAGACAAACTGCGACGGCTACAAGGAGCAGGGCATCACCTACCCGTCCGGCCAGATGCAGCAGCGTCTGCTCGAGGAGTTCTACCAGGAGTGCGGCGTCGACCCCCGCACCCTGGGTTTCGTCGAGGCTCACGGCACCGGCACCAAGGTAGGCGACCGAGCCCGACGGCATCTTTAGTTGACGTCGTCCATTAAATACGTCATTTTTCAGAAGTGGGGTAGTTTTTTCACGGCCCTTTACTCGAGTTCAGGGTTAAAAGCGGGGGCTTTTTAGATGCTATACTAAAGTTACCCCACCTGAAAAATGTTACCCACGGTGATACAATTATCACGGTGCAAGACCCCTTCGCTGTGCATTTGTTTGGAAACTTTTGGTAACGTTGTGGTCCGTGCGACAGGTCGGTGACCCCGAGGAGCTGGCCGCGCTGGACACGGTCTTCTGCACGGGCCGCAAGGACCCGCTGTGGATCGGCTCCATCAAGTCGTCCATCGGTCACTCGGAGCCCGCGTCCGGCCTCTGCTCCGTCACCAAGTGCATCCTGTGCATGGAGACGGGCAACCTGGTGCCCAACATACACTTCCACAACGCCCGCAAGGGCGTCAAGGGCTTCGAGGAGGGCCGCATGCGCGTCGTGACCGACTCCACGCCCTGGCCCGGCGGCCTCATCGGCATCAACTCGTTCGGCTTCGGCGGCGCCAACTGCCACGTCCTGCTCCGGTCCAACCCCAAGGAGAAGGTGAACGGCGGCCAGCCCAAGGACAAGATCCCCCGCGTGGTGGCCGTGTCCGGCCGCACCAGGGAGGCCGTCGACACCATCCTGAACGACGTGAGTCCCGCCGCTGCGGCACCCTCGTCTGTTTGGCACACCCGACGGCCGCTTAACCAAAACGCCCCTCTGCCCCCCTGCTCCTCAGATCGAGTCTCGGCCCGTGGACGCCGAGTTCGCCCGCCTGCTCCACGACGTGCACGCCGAGGAGATCCCCGGCCACTTGTACCGTGGCTACGCTGTGCTCGGCGCGCAGGACAAGCACCGCGAGACTGAGGTGAGGACGCGCCCCGCTTGAGCGGGAGGTGCAGTGCACACCAGCCCCGCGGCCTTGGACCTCACGCTCTCCGCTCTCGTTGCCCCCAGTTCTTCCCCGGCGAGCCGCGCCCCGTCTGGTTCGTGTTCTCCGGCATGGGCTCGCAGTGGCCCGCCATGGCCGCCTCCCTCCTGCAGCTGCCCGTGTTCAAGGCCGCCGTGGAGGGCTGCCACCAGACGCTGCAGTCCAAGGGCGTGGACGTCATGCAGATCCTCACCTCCAAGGACTCCAAGACCTTCGACAACATCCTCAACTCGTTCGTCGGCATCGCGGCCGTCCAGATCGGTCTGGTGGACGTGCTCCGCTGCGTCGGCGTGGAGCCCGACCGCATCATCGGCCACTCGGTGGGCGAGCTGGCGTGCGCCTACGCCGACGGCTCCTTCACCGCGGAGCAGACCATCCTGGCCGCCTACTACCGCGGCCTCGCCTCGCTCGAGACCGACTTCCAGCGCGGCGCCATGGCCGCCGTGGCGCTCGGCTACAAGGCCATGAAGGCCCTGTGCCCGCCCGACGTGGAGGTGGCGTGCCACAACTCGGCCGACTCCTGCACCGTGTCCGGCCCCGCCGACGTGGTGGAGGCGCTGATCGCGGACCTGGCCAAGAAGGGCATCGCTGCCAAGGAGGTCAACTGCTCCAACATCGCGTACCACTCACGCTTCGTGTCCAAGGCCCTGCCCAGGCTGCGCAAGTACCTGGACCAGGTGATCCCGTCACCCGCACCCCGCTCCGAGCGCTGGCTGTCCACGTCCGTGCCCGAGAAGGACTGGGCCTCTCCCGCGGCCCGCCTCAGCTCGGCCGAGTACCACAGCAACTCGCTCGTCAACCCCGTCCTCTTCGAGGAGGTGCTCCAGCACGTCCCCGAAGACGCCCTGCTGCTCGAGATCGCGCCCTCCCCCATCCTCCTGGACGTGCTGCGCCGCGCCCTGCACGAGGACAACGTCGTCATCCCCCTCACCCAGCGCGACAGCAAGGACGCCACATCGAACCTGCTGGCCGCCCTCGGCAAGTGAGTACTCATCGCGTAGTTTGGCGGAATGGCCCCTTCCCCGAAACACCCGCATCACCCCGACCTCTTGTCCAGGACCTTCATCGCCGGCTGCCAGCCCAAGCTGCACAACCTGTACCCCGCCGTCGCGTTCCCCGTGAGCCGCGGCACCCCCATGCTCTCGCCGCTGGTGCGCTGGGAGCACAGCGAGGACTGGTACGTCACCTCGTACCGCATGCAGGAGAAGATCAAGTCCGGCGAGCGCACCGTCATCATCAACGTCAACGACGAGGAGCAGGAGTACTACACCGGCCACGTCATCGACGGCAGGAACCTGTTCCCCGCCACCGGCTACCTGGTGAGTGAGCCGCCCGCCGTCCCCGTGCCGGCGAGGCGCCGAGTCGGTCCGGAGCGCCGTGTGGGTAGGCATCCACAGCGCCCCGGTGCAGCCGAGGCGAGCGCGTGGCCTACCCAGACGGGCGCTCGCGCCGCGCTGCCACGCTAAGCGGGCAACACCACTAACTAGTTTGTCGTTTTCTTTCGCAGGACTTGGTGTGGGAGACTGTGGGACTGATGCGTGGTGAGATCTACACTGACGTGAACATCGTCTTTGAGGACGTGAGGTTCCACCGCGCCACCAACATCAGCAAGGAAGGTCAGTAGCGTGATGCTCCCATAAAATCATCCTAAAGTCACTGGCGTTATCTTGAAGTTAGTATCAGATCCGTCGGAACCACAGCCAACAAAATTATCGGCAATCGACTTACCGCTCTCTTTCTCTGCAGGAAACATCGAGTTCATCGTCATGGTCCAGAAGGCGTCCGGAAGCTTCGAGGTGGTGGAGGGCGGCGCGGCCATCGTGACGGGCCGCGTGTACGTTCCCGAGGACGTCAACAAGGAGATGGTGGACCTGCCGCCCCCAGAGAAGCCCACGGGCAAGGACCTGATCGACATGCAGGGCCGCGACGTCTACAAGGAACTGCGTCTCCGCGGGTACAACTACTCCGGCCTGTTCCGCAGCGTGGTCAACATCGACAACCTCGGTCAGTAGACGGGCGGCAGAACAGAAGCCCCGAGCTGCGATTGCTTGGGCCGTGTTTTTCAATCATGGCACTCTCTCGTCTCGCAGGCCTCACCGGCAAGGTCGCCTGGCACAACAACTTCGTGGCCTTCATGGACAACATGCTGCAGCTGCAGATCATGCAGGTGGACACGCGCGGCCTGTTCGTCCCCACCTCCCTGCAGAAGCTGGTCATCGACGCCAAGGCCCACGCCGACGCGGTGGCCGCCGCTTCCGCCGGCCTGGAGGAGGACAAGACCCGTGAGTAGACGGACGACGTCACTCAGCTCGGGCCAGCCCCCTACATCCCAGAAAACACGTGTTAAGGGCCCTCTTTTTTTGTCCTACAGCCGAGCTGTTCGCCTACGTCATCCCCGAGATCGAGCTGATCCGCTCGGGCGGTGTGGAGGTGCGCGGCCTGAAGGCCAGCGCCATCCAGAGGCGCAAGCCCCTGGGCGAGCCCGTCCTCGAGACGTACCAGTTCCTGCCGCACACCCAGCCGCCCAAGGACCGCGAGCTGGACCGCAAGTCGGCGCTGCGCTTCGCCATGCACGTCGCCATGGAGTCGATCCAGAGCATCAAGCTCAAGACCGTCGAGATCGTGGACGCGGAGAGCCGCGAGGAGGACGGCCTCCTCTCCCCCATCATGTCCGAGATCCTGGGCGACCTGCCACTCATCCAGGCCGAGGTTCAGCTCCTGGCGCCGGCCAACCACCCCCTCATCACCGAAGACCTGCCCTCCAACATTGTCGTCGAGGACAAGAAGCTGGACAAGGAGCAGGGCGCCATCGTCGTCATGGCGACCAACCTCAGCAGCCGCACCGACGTGCTGCAGGCCGCGCTGGGCAGCATCCTGGAGGGCGGCTTCGTCCTCTCGCGTGAGAAGCCTGGCGCCAAGCTCGTCGACGGCCTCGAGGTGTGCGTCGACCAGGTGTACGGCGAGGAGCGCATCGTGCTGCTGCGCAAGAGCGCGCCACTCAAGGAGGCGCCCATCGTCATCAACGTGACCGAGACCCACTTCGACTGGCTGGAGCAGCTCAAGGACGCCATGAAGGACGAGAAGAGCACCAAGAAGGTGATCGTGGTGGCGCAGGGCGAGCCCGAGAACGGCATCATCGGCCTGGTCAACTGCATCCGCAAGGAGCCGCCCACGGGCGACCGCTGCCGCGGCGTCTTCATCGTGGACAAGAACGCCCCGCCCTTCGCCGTCGACCACCCTCTGTACGCCGCCCAGCTCGCCAAGGACCTGGCCACCAGCGTGCTCAAGGGCGGCCAGTGGGGCAGCTACCGTCACCTGCCCATGGACCCCAACCCCATGATCACGGCGGAGCACGCCTACGTCAACGTGGGCATCAGGGGAGATCTCAGCACACTCAAGTGGTTCCAGGGCAGCATCGACCCCCACAAGTAAGTCCTGGGCCTCACGTACGCAACATCGGGCGGCGAGATGTGTACAAGTTCCGTTCTAGACCGCGTGCTTGATGTGTGTCCGCAGGCCCATCCAGCTGACCGAGGACCAGGAGTTCGTGCACGTGTACTACTCGGCCCTCAACTTCCGTGACATCATGACGGCCACGGGCAAGCTGGCGACCGAGGTTGCGGCGCACGGCCGCCTCAACCAGGAGTGCGTCCAGGGCCTGGAGTTCGCCGGCCGCACCCGCGACGGCCGTCGCGTCATGGGCATGATGGCCAGGGGCGCGCTGTCCAACATGATCATCTGCGACAAGACGCTCATCTGGGACGTGCCCGACGACTGGTCCCTCGAGGAGGCCGTGACCATCCCCGTCGTCTACGGCACGGTGAGTCGAACGATCAGGTGTCACACACGGGGGAGCTATTTTTGACGATTGGTTACCTCTTCTATGTCATTTTGAAATCAAACGTTTTGACCGCGCAATTGTTTTTTTTTTCTCGCAGTCCTACTTCGCGCTGCAGCGGGCGGCCCGCATGCAGAAGGGCGAGACGGTGCTGATCCACGCCGGCTCCGGCGGCGTGGGCCAGGCCGCCATCAACATCGCGCTGCACGCCGGCTGCGTCGTCTACACCACCGTGGGCACGCCCGAGAAGCGCGAGTTCATCAAGCAGCGCTACCCGCAGCTCACCGACGCCAACATCTTCGACTCGCGTTCGTGCTCCTTCGAGCAGGACGTGATGACGGCCACCAACGGCCGCGGCGTGGACATGGTGCTCAACTCGCTGGCCGAGGAGAAGCTGCAGGCGTCCGTCCGCTGCCTGGCGCACGGCGGCCGCTTCCTCGAGATCGGCAAGTTCGACTTGGCCAACAACAACCCGCTGGGCATGGAGATGTTCCTGAAGGAGACCTCCTTCCACGGCATCATGTTGGACAACTTGTTCGAGGCCACTCCCGAGGAGAAGATCGAGGTGCACAACATCGTCAAGGACGGCATGCTGGACGGCGGCGTCCGCCCTCTCACCCGGGAGGTGTTCCCCTACGATCAGGTGGAGGAGGCCTTCCGGTTCATGGCGGCTGGCAAGCACATCGGCAAGGTCCTCATCAAGATCCGCGACGAAGAGGCCGACCGCCTGGCCAAGCCCACGCTGTGGCCCATGATGGCCGTGCCGAGGTTCTCGTGCTTCAAAAACGCGAGCTACGTCGTGTGCGGAGGCCTGGGAGGCTTCGGCCTCGAGCTCGCCGACTGGCTGGTGCTCCGCGACTGCCGCAAGATCGTGCTCACGTCGCGCACCGGCCTGCGCACGGGCTACCAGGCGCTGCGCATCCGCACCTGGCGCTCGTACGGCGTCGAGGTGGTCATCTCCACGGCCGACATCACCACGGAGGCGGGCTGCAAGCAGCTGCTGCAGGAGGCCAACAAGCTGGGCCCCGTGCTTGCCATCTTCAACCTAGCGGTCGTGCTGCGCGACGCCATGCTGGAGAACCAGACGCCCGAGGAGTTCGCCACGTCACACGCGCCCAAGGCCGACTCGACGCGCTACCTGGACAAGCTCACCCGCACCATGTGCCCCGCGCTCGAGCACTTCGTGTGCTTCTCGTCCGTGTCGTGCGGCCGCGGTAACGCCGGCCAGACCAACTATGGCATGGCCAACTCGGTCATGGAGAGGATCTGCGAGCGGCGGCGCGCCGAGGGCCTGCCCGGCGTCGCCGTCCAGTGGGGAGCCATCGGGGAGGTCGGCCTCGTCGCCGAGATGCAGGAGGAGCACACCGAGCTGGTCATCGGCGGCACCCTGCAGCAGCGCATCTCCTCGTGCCTGTACGTCCTGGACAGCTTCCTGCGCCAGCCCTGCCCCGTCGTGGCCTCCATGGTGGTGGCCGAGAAGCGCGCCGGCTCCGGCTCCGGCGGCAACGTGGTGGACGCCGTCGTCAACATCCTGGGTCTGCGCGACTTGAAGACCGTGTCCCTCCACTCCACCCTGGCCGAGCTCGGCATGGACTCCATGATGGCCGTCGAGATCAAACAGACTCTGGAGCGCGAGTTCGAGGTCTTCCTCACAGCGCAGGACATCCGGTCCCTGACCTTCGCCAAGCTGCAGGAGATCGCCAAGGCTTCGGCTGAGGAAGGCGGCAGCCCCAAGGAGCAGGTCGTCTGTAAGTACTTGTGCACGTCCTGTTCGTCGCCCGCCAGTCGTTGTGCCCGGTCGCCTAACTGTAACTCGTGACTTGCGCAGCACACTCAGAGCTCCGAGAGGAGGCGCTGAGGTACCTCATGAAGTCCATCGGCTCGGAGGACATGGCCGAGCAGCCCGTCATCCATATGCCCAGTAAGGCGCCCCAGGACGCCAAGAACCCCGTGGCACCAGTATTCCTCATCCCCGGTATCGAAGGTAAGCATGCGACGCACGCTGCGCGTTGTCGTCTTCCTGGCACTTCCTGGTCTCCAGCGCCGCACTGACTTCCGTTCGTATGCAGGTATGGCCGTCATGCTCAAGTCGCTGTGCGAGTACATCAAGGCGCCCACACTGGTCCTTCAGCTGCCCTACAACGACGAGAAGAACACGACGATCCAGGACTTCGCCCGGTCGGTGTACAAAGTGAGTAAATTGGGCACTACTTCTACTCCGCATCGGGCACAGTGAGGACGACGACGTACTGACTTTAAATGTCTCCCTGCAGCACGTCAAGTCCCGCCTCGCACCCAAAGAGTCCTTCAAACTGGTGGGCTACTCGTTCGGTGGCATGGTGTCCACGGAGCTGGTGCGCCTCCTCGAGCAGGACGGCCACGTCGGCGAGCTGGTGCTGCTGGACGGCGCGCCCGCCGGCATGCAGGAGCTCACCAAGGTCTGGATCAAGGAGGACGGCAACACCACAGAGCTGGAGATGGCCGTCCTTCTCGGCCTCCTCGTCGAGCTCAAGATCGCACCCCCTCCAAAGGTACGCGTCATCTCCTCTATATCCCCGATATGACTTAATTATGCCAAAACCCCAACGTTCTCCTTGCACTACGTCCACTGAGATTTGCTGGATTTTAACCGACTTTGCTCTGGCAGCTCCGTGAGGACCTGTTCAAGCTGCCCACCTGGGAATCGCGTGTCGAGCACTTCCTGGCCATCACCCCCAACACGCCCGGGTACAGCAAGGACCACAAGAAGAACGCCTGCGTGTCCTTCGTCAACCGGTCAAAGGCCGCCAATGACTACAAGACACCGTCGACAGAGAAGCTGCGGTCCTCTATCACCCTCATCAGGCCGACGAACCAGACCTTCAAGCACGACCGGGAAGACTACGGCCTTACCGACCTGGTAAGCTTATCTGCGAATGGGGTTGGAAATTTACGAAAATTTACGAAAAATTTCCTAGCTGCGAAGTACCCTCTTCCACGTTGCAACCCGGCGAGACCTCTGACCTCTGTTCTCTGTGTGTTTCAGTTTGCACAGGACACCATCCCCGTGCACTTTGTTGAGGGCGACCACAACACGATGCTGGACAACGTGGAGACGGCCGCCATCATCAACGCAGTCCTGGTGGAGGGCACCGCCGGAAACAAGACGTTCGGCGACAAGGTCGCGGCGGACTCCAGGCTAAGCGCCAAGTCTCAATGAGGGGCGACCAGCGGCCACTGAGAAAGGAGGCGTCGAAACGACACCGCTTCGACGTCTCGTCAACGTGGAAACAACGTCGATTCGGCGTCGATTCGACATCGTTTTAAGAACAATTTCTCACTGGGATGCCAGGATTAGAAAGCAAGACTGA